CCTGTTGTCCTCAGAGTCGAGGCAGCTGGCCTGGGAGCGGCTGGTGGGGGAGATCGCCTTCCAGCTGGACCGCAGGATCCTGTCCAGTATCTTCCCCGAGCGCGTGCGCCTGTACGGCTTCACCGTCTCCAACATCCCAGAGAAGATCATCCAGGTGCCCGGTGCCCGGTTCCCCCTCACCACCAGAGGCCCTGTCCCTGTCACCCGTTAGGGTTGGGGGGGGTGCGGGCCTTGGAGGAGCCGCCGGGGGGGCCCTGCGCGCCAGCCTGGCCAAGCCCATCGGAGTCCGCGGGCACCCTGTGGTGGAGGAGGCATGGCGTTCAGCCCCAGTGGCCAAAAGGTGTCCAGGGCGCCTGGCAGCAGGAGCCTGTGGGCCTAGCCACGTGGCCTCCCCAGGGGACAGTGCAGGGCAGGGTCCTGAGCACGGTCACGTCTGCACTGCCCCCCTTTGCCACTGCAGTGGCTTCCAGATGGCCAGCCCTCATTCCCAGGGGCCCTTCCCCCACTAACAGAGCTGATGCCTACCCCCCCCACCTCCCCACCGCTGCTGGTGCCCTCTAGGGTCACTGGGGTGGCACAGGGTAGACAGGTCCCAGAACCTCTGAGCAGCTGGTGGCCTCATGACCAGGGACCTCAGGCCCAGGCTCATTCCAGTACATTCTTAGCACGCCATCCACTGAGCCTGCTTCCTGTGAGGGACACGGCACACAGGGCTTCTCTGGGCACGCCTACCTTGCCACCGAGTGCGGGAAGCTTGGTGTTCAGCCCCAGTGGCCGAAAGGCGTCCAGGGCACTGGGAGCCTTGGAAGACACTGGGAGGGGAGCCGTCACGGGGTGTGGGCTGTGCCTGGCTGGATGCCCAGAGGAGGCTGTCCAGAACGATCGATCGCCTGTGCCTCCTCTCCCACCAGCGCGCCAAATCTGGCTGGGCCCCCACGCCGGGGGACGGGAGAGGCGAGCCTTTGGGGCTTTCCTTGGGAAACAGGCCTCTGTTCCTGGCCACTTTCTCTCCAGCGTTTTTATCTGTAGACTATAGACCTGGTGTGTGATCGGCAGGAATAGCTCAGGGCTACCGTGGGCTCATCTGAGTCCCGGTTTGAGCTCGCCTTTTCCTTTGGTGTGTGTGTCCTTTGGTTCGGTTTTTAATTTTAATGTGGTCAGAATGATCTACCTTTCCCTTTGTTTGTACTTTTCACGACTCCCTTAAAGCTAGAGCGGTAGAGGGCTGGGCCCAGCCCTGAATCCATCCCGCTTCCCCCCCACCCCCCACCCAGCCCCATGTGTGTGGGCTCTCCAACCGCTGCTCTGACTGTCCCCAGCCCATGCTGTCCTCCTCGGTGCAGTGACAGAGCCCGGCACCTCTCTTCTTCCAGATTGTTTCAGCTCCTCTGGGCCTCTCGCTCAGTGTGAATTTTAGGAGCACCCGTCAAGCTCCAGGAAAAACCTCATTCAAGTATTTGGTTCTGCATCACTTCCCAGATTGAACAGGGGGACGTTTCACGTCTTTACGGTGTTGGTTGTTCTGATACCCCTGCCATTTCTGCTGCCCATGTCAGTGGGGCCCACCGTGGTCACATTTGGTCTGAGGGTCCTTGATGCACAGCCAGGACCCCCGCCGCCAAGGCTGGGTCTCAAGTGCAGACTGGCCATGGCTAGTTAGAAACTGGCAAACAACACGGGCGTAAGCACAATATTTACGTCTCTACAGTGTTGCAGCTGATATCCAGTTGGCGAAGACGACATTGGATTACAATGTCTGGTTTAAAGTGTGGTAGAGCTTTCCCACTGTTTGAAACCCACCTTTAGACGGAAGGTGATAAAGACGTATCACCGTTGACACGGGACTCTGCCCCGAGTCCGCTGTGCGAGCCCTCTGGTCCCCAGCCCCTCTCCACTTAGCGGGAGCCGGCAGTTCTGCCCAGGACTCCACAGTCACAGCACCAGCCGGTAACTCCTAGAGGAGAGGCAGGAAGATGAGGGCGGGATGTACCGAAGGCACTTTTCTCCGGCGTCTGAGGAAGTCAAGGAGCTCGGTGCCCCCTGGGCCAGTGCTTGTGGGGGAGGGGCTGTGGCTGGCACCACTCATTCCGTCCCCAGTCCCGGAGCCACTGGCCCCATTCACCTTCCATCAGCAATGACCAGTGCTGCCAGGGTCCTACACTTGTGCCCAAGCTCCTGAGAAGCGCCCTGCCGAGCCCACCCGCACAGACGTTGTCTTCGGGGTCTGACACCCCCCCAGCTGGCCCGCCGCAGGGTGACCCTGTCTGGTTCCACCCGAGGAGCACGAACGCTCTCAAGGCCATCCATCCTGCCTGCTGGCCTGGCCCATTTGTTGATTCCTATCAGGATCCAATTCCACTTTGCCTAGACTTTTATTTCATTTCCTGAAAACATCTTGTTTTTCTGCGCGTTGAACTCCAGTGTTGGTCGTTGTTAGAATCCCTAAATTCTATCCAGACCCACCACCCCTGGTCAAACCTGGTGTCCGAACCTGGCTCGTTTGCTTCACGAATGCTGGATAGTTTGACGACTGACAAGTTTCAATAGAGCCCCGTTGCCGAATGAGGACTTGTTGACTGTTTTCAATGAATCTGGTCATCTTTTTTATAAGTTCACAGTCAGCTGTGCCATCTTTTAAACTCAACTAAAAGTTGTGCCGGTGCCCAGACCTGTCACCTCTTCTCCCCAGCTGCATACATCTTCTGCTCCAGGTGGGGGGGGGTGGTGCTCTGAGTACCTTCCTTTCAGCTTGCAATCACAGCAGACCTGAGCCCAGCACCCGTGTGAGGGTCACGGAGGCACCTCATGGCTGTGTCCAGCTGGGTCCTGGGCCCCCTAGTGCTCTCTGGAGCCCCACGCACTGGCCTGCCGACAACAGTTGTGGTGTTTGCATAATGGTTTGTTTCCAGCTACCATGCCAAACTCTTGTTCTGGTTCTAACAGCCTGTATATCATCTTGGCTTTTCTATGTAGATGGTCATATTGTACAGTGTTTACAAGAAGCAGATAATACAGCAACCTCATCCTGTTTCTGGCTTGACTGCAAACACACACGTCAAATCTGTCCATTAAGTACAATGTGTGTCCAGGCTTTTTGCCAAATCTTCTTCAGTCACAGTTCTTGGTTGCAGATAACAGAATCAACACTAGCTGATATAAACAGAAAGAGGTTTATTATACACGTTTAGGTGAGGACACAAAACTGGGCACAGAAGTTGGTATGGCTGCCCCTGAAGAACCAGGGTCATAGCCACTGCACTCTCGGAGACCCCTGCTCCCCCTGGGCACCACTGTCTCCCGGCATCCACATCCGCCTGCAAGTTCCACTCACGGGCCCTGCTGGGCAGAAGCCCAGGTCGCAGAGGTCCCTGAGCCACAGGCGAGTCTGGAAAAGGCTTTCAGCTTCAGAAAAGCACTAGAAGCACTAGAAGGGAAGCCTGATGAGGCAGCTTCAGCCCCTGCCACATCAGGTTAAGTTTTTCCTCTTCCTCATTCATTGACACCTTTGGGGGGTTTTCTTAATCATGAATACTTTTATGAATGTATTTTCTGCCTTTCATTGAAAAGATCACACGAGTTTTCCCTCCCTCCCTTTTAACATTTCGGAAGGACACATGAGAAGGTATTCTGATCATAAACCGCACTGTATCCTGGTGTTTTTGTTTTTGAGAGAGGGGGAGAAAGAGGGCGCGCGATCAGGTGTGGGAGGGGCAGCGGGGGGGGGGGGGGGGGGGGGGGGAGGGAGACACAGAATCCAAAACAGGATCCAGGCTCTGAGCTAACGTGGGGCTTGAACTCATGAGCCGTGAGATCATGACCTGAGCCGAAGTCCCACGCTTAACCAGCTGAGCCCCCCAGGCGCCCCACCCTCGTGTTTTTAACGCCTCCAGATGCCGTTTGCGGTTATTTACGACTTCTGCAGCTTCGCTACTTATCTCGCGAACACACCGAGCTGCCGTGACAGAAAGAAGGGGCGTCAGGAAGCCGCGTGTCCCTCTCCCCGTGGGGCCGCGGCCGCTGCCCACCCCCTGGCTAGCGTCTGGGCCCCGGGTCCCGGACTCCGCCCAGGGGGCGGGGCTGACAGTCCCAGTCTCACCCCATTGGCCCGGTCTCGGTGACGTCAGGCCTTGCTGCCGTCGCGGACGCGGGGTCGCAGGTGGGAGTTTACCTCCGCAGGGGAAGGCGGGGCTTCGGTGCGCTCGCGGGGTTTTCTTGCTGATCCTCTGTTGATCCTTAGGATTCTGTTTCCTCGGCTCAGCTCTTTCTTTCCTTCTGCTTCCTTTTGGTTTGCTTTATTCCTCCTTCTTGGTCTGAACACTTAAGTCATTTTATTTTACACAGCCTGTGTTTGGAAATACGTGTGGGGCAAGGCAGTTCGCTCTATATTTAACCAGTGGTGCAGCAGGTGGACCCGCCCGGCCCGGCGGCCTCCCACCCACGGGCGGGGGCTTCTCAGGTGTAAGGATTTCACAAACTGCTTTGGATTTTCTCTCTAACCCAAGAGTCAGGATGCACGCTCCAGTCTCCGCCCTCTGAGGGACGTGCGGCCGCCTCTTGAGCGTTGCTTTCTAACGGGAACAAGGGCTGAACCTTTGCCGCCGTTTCCCTTAGCACTGAACACGTGTTCGGCGTCGTTTCCAGAATGGAAAGACTGGGTGGTGAACACATGTGCTCAGTTTCTTGCAGGTGCGTGCGTATTTGGTAGCACCTGTTCTCTCCTCCACATCTGGTCCAGCACCAGGTCCTCTGCTGAGTCTCCCTCTAAAGATGTTTCCCATGTATACGCCTGCGTCTACATTCACCTAGGCCCTGGACTAAACTGCTAGCACCTTACTATCCTTCCCCTCCATCTCTTCACTCCTATTATGGAGCATTCAGTGCATACCAAGTTTATATCAGACGGTCTCTGCGCTCCAGGAGCTCGCCCACTCCTGGGGAGGCCTTCAATAAATAAGAAAAGCCATAAATATGTATGCTACAGGTCCAGGGGGTGACACATGCTACGGGGGGGCAGGAGAGTTGAGGCTGGGAGCTAGGCACTGAGATGGCTTTGCTGCCTCCTCCCCGCCTGTATATACCCTGGCCTCATCCTGGCCAACTATGTCACCCCTCCTCCATTCCTTTGAAACACAATTCTGCTCAACGTGAGAGCCCACTGATGTGTCCCCTGGAGCCGGGACCGCCTCAAGGGGGTGCACACCGGTACAGATGCTGTGCTCAGCACCCCCTAGAGACATTTCCTTTACTCTTCAAAGCAGCTGTCAGGTGGTTTGCTTTCCTCCGTGTCAGAGCAGGGGAGGCTCAGACCCAGTGTGGGGACAGAAGCGGTCCCTGAACCCGGCCCTCCCTGTGGGCCCCTCTCCTTGCTCTGTGCTCTGCCTCCTGGTACCTTCCAAGCCACGCATGCTGTTCCTTGTCCTGGAAGTTTCTTTCCTCCTGAGATCCTCGTCCCTCAGACCTCAGCCCAGCACCCTCTCCCCTCCAGAGTCCCCTCCCCGCGGCAACATTCACAGTAGCGTCCCTCTCCTTGGTGCTGTCATCACCATAAACTCAGAGGGCTTTGCTCACACTTGAATCCCATCACCTGGTATGGTGCCCTGCACAGGGGAGGGCTGCGAACTATCTGCAGAACAGAGCCTTCCCCCTCTCTTGCTTCGGTGCCCGCTGCTCCCTCGCTTCTGTGGAGTGCTTGTCCTGCTTGTCCCCCCTCACTTGCCTCACCTGTGCTCCTCTCTCAAGAGGTCACCTCCTCGGGGCAGCCGCAGCCTTGCGTCTCAGTGTAAGTGTGCCCACACTGCTCTTCCCCATCCAGTACCCTGGCAGGGTGGGCGCAGGGTGCCCACCCCTGACTTCTGCTCCTGTCTGGAGCTCCACGCATCGCGTCTGGCACACAGCAGGAGCTCAGCCACAGCCCCGGAGTGAGCATATAATGGGTTCTGATGTCCTCGGGGGCTGGGGCTTAAAGCTACCCACTCACTGTGCTCTGCGCCGTCCAGCGGCCCCACTTGTCACCCACAGATGGTGGCTGAACTCCTGCAGCCTGCCTGACGGCACAGGAGCAGGTGAAAGGAGGGAGAAGGCTCAGGGGCCGGGAGGAGCCTAGAGGCAGGGAGATGAGCTTACTCCAGTGACCGTGCAGCGGGGGTGCTGAGCACAGGGCTCCAGGTACGTCTGCCAGCGGTCAGGCGTCACTTTGGCTGAGCCGAGCCAGGAGTCCAGTGCTCTATTCACAAGACCACCTGGGGAGGAAAGGACAGGGGACATTCTCGGAGAAAGTGACGCCTCAGCAGCTCGTTCCAGCAGGTTAGGAACCAGCAGGTGGGCATCCAGGAATGGTTGGAAGGGGATGAGCAGGGCCAGAGTGGGGACCTTGGGGCCAGAGTGCTGGCCCCAAGAGGTGGGACGTGTAGGAGGGCCTCAGGCAAGAGACCCCATCGACTTCAGACCTGACATTCTGTGGGCCTGGGGGCAGCTAGCTGCACGTGTGACAGAGACGTAATGTGCAGGACTCGGTGAAAATGAAAATACAGGGCTCTCTGTTCAAAACCTATAAAGAACTTCAAGATGGCTACAGCAGGACATTAAGCTGAGCGTGGGCCCTTCTGAGCCGGGGCCCTGAGTGAATGTCCAGGTCACGTGCCCGAGAGGCAACGGCAGGAGTGGGGAGGAGGGGCCGCTCTCCTGGCGAGATGCCGCGGGATGCAGTCACTGCCCGGTTGGAAGGCACAGGCAGTAAAGAAGCGGGTGGAGACCCACCGGGTTGCTGCCAGTCCCCAGACCTCTCTCCCAGGGCCTCCAGGACACCTCCCTCCAGCACATCGCCACAGCCACACCCCTCAGCCGCACCTGCCCCTCTCTTGCCTTTGCGGCGGTAGGAGCAGGAGGGGCCCTGACGGCCGCTCTCCCCTCAGGCCTCCCTGAACCCCAGCGACCACAAGCTGGATGAAGAGCTGTGCCAGACACTCACGCAGCGCTATGTAAGCATCATGAACCGGCTGCAGAGCCTGGGCTACGACGGGCGGGTGCACCCGGTGCTCACCGAGCAGCTGGTGAACGCCTACGGGATCCTGCGTGAGAGGCCGGAGCTGGCCGCGTCCGAGGGCGGCTCCTACACCGTGGACTTCCTGCAGCGCGTGCTGGTGGAGACCGTGCACCCCAGCATGCTCACCGACGCCCTGCTGCTGCTCTCCTGCCTCAACCAGCTGGCGCATGACGATGGCAAGCCTATGTTCATCTGGTGATGCCGGCTCCTGCCAGCCAGGCCCGCTCTGCCCCGCTCCTCGGTGCCAGGCCATTAAAGCTTCCCACACACGCTAGCCGCTGGGCCCCGGGCCAGAACTCCTGGGGGTGCTGCCTCCGCCGGGGTGGCCCACCAGCACCTCATCGCCCCGCACCCCTTCAATCCTGCTTGCCCTGGGGCTCCAGGCCCACCCCGGGGTCCTTGGAGAGAGCCCCAAGACCAAAGCTTGGCAGCTGTCCGCTGACGGGGGTGGCGTTCAAAGGTCCCCAGCTGCCACCGGCCTGCGGGTGAGAGCAGCAGGAGCCCCTGAGACTCGGAGGGGGGAGAGCAGGAAGCAAGGAGGAGCCGACCCGGCAGGGAAGGGCCGTGGCTGTGCCAGCAGCATTAGCGCTGTACAGAGAGCTAAAGCCTGGGTGCAGAGTGGAAGGCAGAAGACAAGGATGTGGACGTGGGAACCCTTCCCTCTGTCCTAGGCCAGGAAGAGGGCGGCGGGAGAGGGGGCAGGGAGGGCTCCTGGACCCTCACTACGGGCAAGAGGACATTAGATGGACGGGAGCCCGGAGAAAGTAGACTCACCCAAATCCTAGCGAGGGGCAGCCCAGGGAGATGTGGCCGGTTCCTAAGGCTCCACAGGGTTCCGAGCCTCAGAGCTGGAGCCGGCAGAACCCACCTGCTGCAGGGGCAGGGGCAGAGCGCAGGCAGAATGGGAAAGCCCAAGGGAGCAGCAGAGGGCAGGGGGCGTGTAAAATGGGACTCCACCAGGGGTAACCTGAAGACGAAGGGGAGGGGCCTGTGGATAGTGCAGGAAACTGAGGACTGGAGGCCAAGATGGGGGTCCTTGCCAGGGTGTGCATGCGAGATGGGCAGTGGGGTAAAGCCCACAGAGTGGCCTCTGGCCCACGAGAGGTAAAGGAGAGGACCTGCCCGAGGAAGGGAAGGAGGCTGGAGCTGCGATAGGAGGCAAAGGGTGGGCTGAGGAGGTGGGAGTGAGGACCCCAGGCGAGGAGGCTCCTGGAACACCGGTGCTTGCCGGCCAGAGCGCTCTGAGGGAACAGAAGAGTCCCAAGGTTCAACCAGAGGCATCGTATCAGCAACCAGCAAGGAAGGCAGGGAGGGAGAGGGTTGTGGGGTGTGCTAGGGCCTTCTGGCGCGGGAGCTCCCTGCCCTCTCCACTCCCAGGCCCGCTACTTCAGGGGATCCAGCCAGACCCCCGCGGAAAGGCAGGGAAGGGCTCCACATAGAGAAGTGTGACATCTAGAGACGGAAATCTCCTAGCTGTCTGCCGACAAGGCCTAGCAGCAAGACACAACTGTCGCGGTGAACACGCCCAGCACCAGATCTTGGTTTCTAAAGGGGATCAGGGATTCCTGGAGAATTGGGGGTGGGGGTGGGGGGCAGAAGTCCCTCCTCCTCCCTGGCAGCAGTCGCGAATGGCTGCCCAGATCCAAACTCCTGGGCAATTTAAGACCCAACCAGGAGAGCGGTGGGCTGTGGTTCACGGCTCAAATGATTCAGATGCGGGCCCAAGCAGGGCCCGGCAGCACCTGACAGAGAGCGGGGCAGCAGGGTCCTGGGAACCAAGGAAGCAGGTACAAGAGGGCCCCCGGATGGGGAGCTGATTTCCATGTGGCTCACGCGTCCTGAGGTTGCGGCGGCGCAAGTCCGCACCAACGGCCCCTCACCTCCCGATTGGAAGCTCCTCGGGGAAGGGTCACGGAGCGGTCTGTCACCACCGGGGACAGGCCTCTTAGGGCAGCTCTGCGGGGCTCTCACTGGGTGGCAGATTAGGGCGTTCTGAGTCCGTCCCTCCTCTGGAGCTGTGTCTTTGAACTCACTTGCGGGACACCTGAACCCCGGGAGACGGGTGGGGCTGGGGTAGACCCCGAAGTCAGGGCCGCTGGAGGGCGCCGGCAATTCCGCGCGGACTTGCGGGCCGGCGGAGGGAGCTGGACGCAGCACGCACCGCACTGCCTCCACCGGCGCTGCGCCCGCCTGCACTAAAGAGGGTCGCTCTCCATTTGCTGTAGGCTGCACCCCAGTCCCCGCTCGCGTCGGGCAGGTCTGGGGGCTCTCCCGGTGGCGTACAGGGGAGGGCGGGGCAGAGTGGGGCGAGGAGTATCTGGGGGCGGGGCTGCGAAACCAGGGTCTCTTTCGCTTTCCCTTTTGTTCCCTCCAACGGCCGCCCAGACTCCGCGCGGGAGAGGAGAGCGCGGCTTCCCGGCGCGCCGGTTGCCGCCTGCGCCCGCGCCCCAGCGATCCCGGGGCACAGCACCTACGCCGTTCCGCGCACAGGTGGCGCCACGTAACCTTGACCCCCGTGACACCCCCGCAGCTCCCGCGGACGCACGCTGGCAGCGACTGGGTCGCAGGGGCGCCGCGAGGCGGAGGAGCCCCGCACATCATGCAGACCCTTCCGGACTGGCCCCCAGCGTCCGGGGCCCCACGGCCCTCTCCCTTCCCGCACCCGGGACTGCACGCCCTCCACCGCCTGGCTCGAGCCCTGCTCTTCCCGGCTTACTGGGCCCTGGACCGGCTGCTGGGCTGCTGCGCGCCGACCGCGCGCCCGAGCGGCCTGCGGCGGCTGAAAGCCGCTGCCGGCGCTGGGGCCGCGCTGCTGCTGCTGCTGCTGGTCGGCCTGCCCCTGGCCCTGCTCGGGCTGCCGCTCTGGCTGCTCCTGCAGACCTGGCGCCGCCCCTTCTGCTACCAGCCCCCGCCGCAGTGCTGGGAGCCCCCAGCGCCCTGGCGCCCCCCCGCCGAGCCCGCGCGCTGCTTCACCTTCCTCAGCGCCAACCTGTGCCTGCTCCCCGACGGGCTGGCGCGCTTCAGCAACTTGAAACACAGCCAGCGGCGGGCCGAGGCTGTGGGCGCCGCGCTGCTCGCCGGCCTGCGGCCCTCGCGCTATGGGGCCACTGGCAGCAGTCCGCCGGGGCCGGGGGCGCCCTGCGGAGTGCTGACAGCCGAGGTGCCGGCAGGTCTGGAATTTGTGTGCCTGCAGGAGGTGTTCGACCTGCGCTCGGCGCACCGCCTCGTGAGCCGCCTAGCGCCCAGTCTGGGCCCGGTGCTGCACGACGTGGGCTCGTGTGGCCTGCAGCCCGGGCCGCACCTCAAGCTGCTCGGCAGCGGGCTGCTGCTGGCCTCGCGCTACCCGCTGCTGCGCGCCGCCTTCCGGTCCTTCCCCCACGCACGTCGCGAGGACGCGCTGGCCTCCAAGGGACTGCTTTCCGCACAGGTACCTGCCCAACCGCCGCGGCGCCTCCTGGCGGGGAGAGGGCTGGCGTGGGCTCGAAATGGCGACGGTTGCTGGGGCCCTCCGTGGTGTTGCAGGCGCAGGTGGGCATCATGGACGGGCGCCGCGTCGTGGGCTTCCTGCACTGCACGCACTTGCATGCGCCGAGTGGTGAGCCCGAGGACGGGATCGTCGGCGCGTGGGCAGGCCGTCTGGCCTCTCCGCGCCCCCGACCGTTGGTTCACTGCCCGCGGCACCGCGAGCCCCGGGGAGGGGGGGGGCGGGGAGCGCGGCCCCGCTGAGCCTTCCGTTCCCGCCCTCGCAGAGGACGGGCCCTTGCGCTGTAAACAGCTGACGCTCCTACTGGACTGGATCGAGCAGTTTGAAGCCGAGAGCCGCGAGAGTGGCGAGGCCGTGGCCTTCAGCGTGCTCCTGGGCGACCTAAACTTCGACAACTGCTCCTCAGGTGAGGGCAGGCTGCGGCGGGGCGGGGGCGGGGCGGCCTGGCCCCGCCCACCACGCGCTGATCTCGCCCGGCAGACCACGCGCAGGAGCAGGAGCACCAGCTCTTCAGCCACTTCCGGGACCCCTGCCGGCTGGGCACGCGCCGGGATCAGCCCTGGGCTCTGGGTACGGGGGCAACCGGGTGGGGAGCCGACCTGGGTGCGGTTCGAGGACCGCGGCTGCCGCTGACACCGCCCTCCGCCCGCCCTCCCCCAGGCACAATACTGAGCACCTCCACCCTCCGCCACTCGGTGGCCTGCTCCCCGGAGATGTTAAGGAGGTGAGTGGCGACCTGGGGGTCAGACGCCGCCCGGAACGCCGGGGAGTCCTGGCCTTGGTGACACCACTCCTCCTCAGGGCCCTGGAGCAGGAGGAAGGGCGCCGCCGCTACCTGGCGGGCCCTCTGGGCGGAGGCCGCCGGGCTGAGCCCTGGCGGGGCCGGCGCCTGGACTACATTATGTACCGGGGAGCGGTCGGAGGCCCGCTGAGCCCAGTAAGTGCCAGAATTCAGGGCGCTGGGCCGGCTGCAGCTAGGGCGACTCCTCAGTCTGACTCCCGCCCCCAGGAGGTGGAACAGGTGACGTTCAGCACCGCCCTGGCGGGGCTCACAGACCACCTGGCCGTGGGACTTCGCCTCCGAGTTTCCGTGCCCTCCTGACGCAGGCTGGCAGGCGACAGTTGGAAAGACGGACGCGGACGCAGAGCGTGAGCCTGGCCGGCTGCCGCGGGAACGCGGTGACTTCGCTGTTTATTGTGGGGGCCCTCCCTCACACCGCCTCCTGGGCTCTGCGGTACTCGTAGACGCTGCCGCGCTCAGAGAAGGCTGGGGGCTGCGGGGGCGACCCCGGCGGTGGGGCGGGGTCCTCCGGGTCCCCGTAGCCGCCCCCGCCTGGTGTGTGGAGGCAGAACACGTCCTGTGGAGCAGAGGGACAGGTTCACTGCGGGCGTGGACGCCCCCAACCCTGCCTCTCGCTGCAGTCCCATCCCCACCGGGGCAGCGCATTCATGGCGGCCGGCCTGGCCCAGGGAGGCCCACTGCGCGCCCTCTCCTTCGGAAACCAAATTAAATTCAGACGCTGGTTATTTTTGCAACTCTGCTCACCCTCTGTGGAAAGGGGGCCGCTGGAGGGCGGACGGGAATGAGGAAGGACAGATGTCAATCCTTACCCCGGGGAACACGGGCACCGACGTCTTTCCGCCCAGATTCACCGTCCGGCCGTCCTTGCGAATCAGCAGGTTTAGGCCCCGGGCTCCGGGCTCACCCCCTGCGGGAAGAGGCAAAGTGAGGCTGGCCCGGAAGGCAAGGAAGGGAGGGGCAGAGGCGGCGGGCGGGCAGAGGAAACGACTCCGTGCAAGAGGCAAGGAAGGGA